GGTAGTTCCTCCTATCATCTTTACTTTGATCCCTCAAGTAGATGCCATACCTCAGGATATCCCTCACAGTTGGCAGTTCAGACACCAACAGCTCTCGCCCAGTGCCAACAAGATTACTCAAATGAGAAGTCGATTTTGCCCTTGTTTTGACTTGAGCCATTTCAACTAGTTCACAGTGAAAACACTGATATACTGAAGTAAGTTTCATTTCCTGTAAGTTTCACATCAGACAGGAAGCCCTGACTTCAAAATAAAAGCCCTGACTTCAAAATAAAAGACCCCCAACTTAGTCTCTTTTTTCCAGAAGAATAGCAAATAATCGAAAAATAGATAATATTCAACTGCAAATTGATGTAGGTTAGGATTGTCAGAATTGAAAAATATCTTCAGATTTATGTTCTATACGCCAACATACGTTATATGAACACCCCTCTCGATCGATTTACAAAAAAAAAATAGTATGGCCCGCCTGTAAGTCGCTTTGGATAAAAGCGTCTAACAAATGACATGTAATGTCATGAATGATTGGGCACCGAGAAATAGTGTATGTTTTGTTATCAGGAAAAGAGATGACGTGAAGCCTTCGATATTTGTATGTAAAATATATTGAAACCAAAGGGAAACCAACCGGATGGCCCTGGACAATGGGCTTTATCCTGCATACGCTTGGCTAGCTGGTGCCTCTGTGGCCGGTTGATTTTGTTTTGTTTGTTCTTTGGTTCAAGGACAAATCGCCACTACAGATAAATGCAGGCTTCAAAAAGAGAACAATCTTTTGATGTATCTTTTTTCTATAAAAGTATATAAAGATTCAGTCTTAATCACATTGTCCTTAAGTATAATAATCAATGGAATGTTCTACTTTGGCTTGCTAAACATCACACATTTTATTTAGTCAATATTCAAATTCAGTTTCATTCTTATGAAAGGTATGTGTAAAGAATCAAAATCCAATCTTTTTAAACTGACTAGGATCATAGTGTGAAGGCCCCAAATCAATTTGAGTCTCTTAATCTATTAGAATATATATATTTTTGGCACTTGGAAGATCATCTTCTCTTATAGATTATCTGTTTTTGTCTCAAAATATAATACATTTTATGTTGTTACGTTAATATCTTATCAATCATAAATGACAGGCAGCAACTGTCCGAGCAACTCGTGTCCAGTCACATGGATGAATGAAATCAATACAATGATTCAAGAGGAGCCACAGATGCTGCTGCGTGCATTTCTTCATATGACACTCTACTGCCATCATGTGGAGGAAAGCAATAGTGCAGAAATAAAGATCAATTATTAGAAAGATTAGGAAGCACAGGACAACAAAGATTGTGTGTGTGTGTGTGTGTGTGTGTGTGTGTGTGTGTGTGTGTGTGTGTGTGTGTGTGTGTGTGTGTGTGTGTGTGTGTGTGTGTGTGTGTGTGTGTGTTTGTGGACCTTTAGTAGCGTACGCCTCTGCTATCATGGACAGCCTGTACACAGGAGCCCCCCCCAGCTGCATGTCCTCCAGGATCACCCTTCTGTAGTGACCTGTCAATACATCATTATGGAGAAATATGTAAATACACCAGTATTATACACATACAACTAGGGCTGCAAAAAATTATGAAACGCAATTATTTTGACTGATTTGCAATCGCGATATGATTAACGATATTTGAAAGATTGATCATTTTGCCTCATTATTCTCATTTATATTAAAACAAACATCTCTGCAGATCCACAATGTATCCTTCAAATGGTATCAAAGAATTATATACAGCCTTTTACAAATATTATGCTTCCTGCGATGTGACAATTCTACAAGCCCTTTAGGCGATAAGAAGAAATGATATAATTATGCAGCCCTACCTTACAAAGATCTATCTTTTTTGATGGGAAAATTAATCCCAAATGAATAAACACATATTTTTGCTCTTACCTTTAGCGCTATTTATCAATGTATATTGTTTTGGTGCGAGCTGCCCAGTATTGGCGATATTGGCCATAGAGGAGTATGCCTTTTCTCCAATGTAATGGAACTGAATGGCACTCTAGTGGTGCTCAAAGCGCCAACAAATAAATAAATTTGAAAAACTAAACAGCAATGTCTCTTTTCAGATATAAAGACTTTGTGACAGTTTCATTTAGAAACTATTTTCTTTATACCAAACTACATCCACCAATGACTTAGCATGAGCCCCTTGTCCATGAGTAGGAGCACGCTTCTTCTGAGCAGTGATACGGTTGGCGCCTCGAAAAATAGTTCCTAAATGAAAAAGCTCACAACAATGTCTGTGAATTATCACGAGCAACTGGGCGTGGATTTGTGGGACGAGACATTACTCAGAACTGTGTCAAATGTTCATTCTTGCGCTTTGAACACAAGCCGAGCGCCAAGTAGTTCTATTATATTTGGAGATAATGCAATTCAGATACCAAGTGACACACACTAAAATAGTCTATTATGATACATAGAACTACAGGGAAGTAAAACACATTTGAGTTATTGATGTGGTCCGTCCCTTTACTGACATTACACTGCGAGCAAACTGTGGATATATGTAAATAAAGCGAACCATAGGAGCATGTAGGTTACCTAAAGCGTCTCGGTGTTCTCCCTCCACATAGCACAGCTTGGCCATCAACAGGCTGGCTTCCTGGAGGTAATCGGCCTGAAAGAGAGACAAATAACACTATTTATCTCTTTTTAATGTCGTTGTCTTCATTGTGCTTGGTTTCCGTCTGCAGATGTTTTTTCTACTGATGTTAAAACCTTAAACGAATCCTTTTCTGTGGCCGTAAATATGTTACAGAAACCAAAACTACATTAATATGTTGTTAGTCAATTGTCGACTATGTCTTCCTCCACAGTTACCTTGAGGTTCCCTCTGTCCAGAGCAGCAGTCAGGTGTTTCCTGACCTCCACCAGTTTAGGTCGCGGGCCCCTGGGACTGGCCCCCTGTTTGATGGGATTCTCCTTCAGGTACGTCTGAAGCTTGCATTCTCCCAGCAACAACTCCCCTAGGTCATCTACACACACACACACACACACACACACACACACACACACACACACACACACACACACACACACACACACACACACACACACACACACACACACTTTATGATTACTTGATTATCCAAAAAGTTGGTGATTATACTTCTGTCAATCACCTTATTGTTTAGAAGACTAACTGTTGTATCTGTATCAAAGTTCGAAGGTCAATCTAAGGGTATAAAAAAACAATGAATTTAACATTTGAAATCGAAATAAGATCGCTCTCTAATGACAATGTGACCACTTTAGGGTTCAGTTTATTCATGTATATCTACAACGTAGGTATTGTAAATACATGTCGATTTGACATAGAGAAACACTGCAGTGCTTACACACATACCGGGCAGATTAAAGTACGGCCTAAGCTTCTGAAGCTTGTGACTGTGTTGAGAGGTTCAGAGTGTGAAACCAGCAGTAATCCTGTTGCTGATGCCAGCCAGTGACCGGGCTCATACCTCTCAGGAGCCACATTACATTCCACCATGGCAGCATTTGTTCATAGAAACACTCTGCAACATTCACATGTCCACAGTTGTAAATGTGTCGGTAAGGTTGGTTTTGGTAACATATCTAACAAATAATGAGTAGTCTATAATATAATCACATGTATTCTATATGTAACATTTTGAAACGTTTTCTCTTATATATAAAGATGGGAAAATATGTTTTTTCAAGGTTGCAAAGCTTTATACAATTATTTGAATGCAATCTTTTTGTCATCAGGGGATTTTCTGTCTTACAGTTTAAAGATCTAACAACATTTCTGTAATGGTGACACAAGCCTGCATATGAAATGTGCGATGGAACATGAGCAGTTCCGAATATTTGCTGCTTGGCTGTGACTCACTTACCATATTATTCAATCTATAGCGCTTTTTATTAACAATAGTGATGTCACAGGGTCTTTCACACGTACACATCACTGCAGTACGGTGACGACACCATATACACAAGGCTCTACCATGAGTCATATGGCAGAAACGTATGTCAATGGGTCGATTTAAATTGCATGGCATGATGGGATATCATACTGTTTACATGTTTTTTTAATTTATTTGTTAGCACTCTTTCAAATTAGCCCTGTTTCTCACTTGAGGCCAGGAAAAGGCTAGTCTCTGTGACCTTTTTACCTGTGCTGGAATATGATGATCTGATATATATGAATGTGCACTGTGATAGGCGGCATCTAACTTGATCAGGTCTGGGCAGGTGCATTCATATATATCAGATCATCATATTCCAGCACAGGTAAAAAGGTCACAGAGACTAGCCTTTTCCTGGCCTCAAGTGAGAAACAGGGCTAATTTGAAAGNACTTATTGTTTTCTACTTCGGCTTTAAGTGCCTTTTGCTGTGCTCGGGATGAGTTCAGGCCTGATTTCGCGCTCCTGTCCTCGCTGCCACCCCACGCAGCAACCAGGAAATGACACCAGTAAGCCAGCTCACACTGTCCGCTCCTCGCAGCAGCGAGCCGCGCAACGTCCCGCCAACATGGCACCCAGACCCCACACAGCATTCTCATCTGTTTGTCCTTACTGGTGTCATTTTCTGGTTGCTAACGCCATTGTAACACATAATCACTGATGTTCCGCTGTAACGGTGGTGGACTCATCAGAACAGCCGTTCTGATGAGTCCACCACCGTTTAGGACAGAGAGTGAATACACATAATATACAGAGAGGCTGTATGAGAAACCAATGTGAGTTTGGAACATTGAACAATGCAAATCTATTCTAGTAGACCTCAACAATGGAATTATGATCAGTAGAAATGACATGGGACCTTTAAAAGAGGATCGTAGCTCTTTATCTGGATTAATACTGTCTTATATCAAATTGTAAGGGCAATATTCCCACCAGTGTACAGACCAGCTGATGTCATGTTTTTCTTCTTCTCTCTTTCTCTGTTCTCCTCTTCCTCTCTGCTCCTAGTTGAGAGACGAGGAGCTGTCTAAAGAGAGTCAGGAGTCCAACTGGTTCTCTGCCCCCTCGGCTCTCAGAGTCTACGGTGAGAAAATGTCTAATCGTGAATGTCAGGCTTCCAGTCTCTCATCAAGTCTTCATGATGATCCTAAGGAATGTTATCGGCTTATAAATCAAATATTACATGAACTAACCAAACCAAAATACTTTTGTGGGTGCAGAAACTGGGATATTGAGTCATCAGAAATAGAGTAGCTTGGCTTTGTCATTGTAGGGAATCCGGAAAAACGATAGACTAGAGCAAGTCACTGGTCATGATTTTGTTTCCATTACTTGTGGACTTGTATGCCTCACAGCCGGCTGTACTGAAATTGTGGTCAAAGGTGATGACATTCCTTTGACATAAATAACAGTAAACTGCAAGTTGGCTGGTTTTGCAGAATCAAACATCCACCAAAGTTGATTCCAGTTATGATTTGTTGTATCATTACAGGCCAGTACCTGAACCTGGATAAGGACCACAACGGCATGCTGAGCAAAGAGGAGCTCTCACGCTACGGCACTGCCACGCTCACCTCCGTCTTCCTGGACAGAGTGTTCCAGGAGTGCCTCACCTACGACGGAGAAATGGTACGATCAGAAACAGAGTTATCATACAAAGGTCCTGGAACTCAATTGTTACTCTAGTGGTTTTTAATCAATAGTGTTGCAGAGCGATGTCTAACAAAAAGACAGAAATGGCATGGTGAACAGGGTTTAGACTTTTTATTCATTTGAGAATACCTCTCCTCTTATGCATCCTTTTATGTTACGGACTCTTGTGTCCTGGGTCTAAGTTGTACATGTAGATTAAGAATGAGTAATTCTGTGTCTCTTCCTTTACCTCAGGACTATAAGACCTATCTAGACTTTGTGTTGGCGTTGGAGAACAGGAAGGAGCCGGCAGCGTTGCAGTACATTTTCAAACTTTTGGACATGGAGAATCGAGGATACCTCAACGTGTTCTCCCTCAACTTTTTCTTCAGGGTAAATTCTCATCCTAGATCCTCTCATTCCTTTTTAAAAAAAATATTATTATTTATTTTATTTGTTTTCTTATTTATTTGTATTTTTTTTTTTTTAAGGCTAGACTACATTCCTTGTATTTTTGTATGCGCGTCAGAAATACAAGAATACACACATCTGTGATGCTGTTGCATGTTCTGTTCTCCAGGCCATTCAGGAGCAGATGAAACTCCACGGACAGGAGCAGGTCACGTTCCAGGATGTAAAGGTAAAGTTCACACGAATCCAGACTTTTTGGGGTTTTTGGGTGAAGAATTCCGTTTCTGATCGCTGCCTCTCCTCAGGATGAGATTTACGACATGGTGAAGCCTAAAGACCCCTACAAGATCACCCTCCAGGACTTGGTGAACAGTTGCCAGGGCGACACAGTCACCAGCATCCTGATCGACCTCAATGGCTTCTGGACCTACGAGAACAGAGAGGTGCTGGTTGCCAGCGACAATGACGGCAGCAGCAGCATGGCAGATCTGGACGACAACTGAAGATTATGTGGCAGAAGAGACGCTCCTGGTACCAACATTTCACTCCCAAGCTGAAAGCACTGAACACTTCCTGTTTCCCAGAGCCTGGAGAAATGAATGGATTGATGGAAGGAGGAGACAGTGCTTTTTGTAATACATGTGTTTTTGTCTTTGACCTTTTTTTAAATAAATGTTTCCTTAAAATTCCTTTCCTCACAATGCCTACATGCTTCACTTTTCTTTGTATAATAGAAATGTCCTTTAAATGACTGTCAAATTCAATTGAAAGTGGCTATAATGGATGGCTCACTGTTTTGCTTTAGTTCATTTGAAAACACAGAAAAAAGATTAAAAAGGTAGACGAATATTCGACATACATACAGTTGCAAGAAAAAGTATGTGAACCCTTTGGAACTACCTGGATTTCTGCATAAATTGGTCATAAAATGTGTTCTGATCTTCATCTAAGTCACAACAATAGACAAACACAGTCTGCTTAAGCTAAAACCACACAAACAATTATATGTTTTTATGTTTTTATTGAACACACCATGTAAACATTCACAGTGCAGGGTGGAAAAAGTATGTGAACCCCTGGATTTAATAACTGGTTGACCCTCCTTTGGCAGCAATAACCTCAACCAAACGTTTCCTATAGTTGCATATCAGACCTGCACAACGGTCAGGAGGAATTTTGGACCATTCCTCTTTACAAAACTGTTTCAGTTCAGCAATATTCTTGGGATGTCTGGTGTGAATCGCTGTCTTGAGGTCATGCCACAGCATCTCAATTGGGTTGAGGTCAGGACTCTGACTGGGCCACTCCAGAAGGCCTATTTTCTTCTGTTGAAGCCATTCTGTTGTTGATTTACTTCTGTGCTTTGGGTCGTTGTCCTGTTGCATCACCCATCTTCTGTTGAGCTTCAATTGGTGGACAGATGGCCTTAAGTTCTCCAGCAAAATGTCTTGATAAACTTGAGAATTCATTTTTCCGTCGATGATGGCAATCTGTCCAGGCCCTGAGGCACCAAAGCAGCCCCAAACCATGATGCTCCCTCCACCATACTTCACAGTTGGGATGAGGTTTTGATGTTGGTGTGCTGTGCCTTTTTTTCTCCAACACATAGCGTTTTGTGTTCCTTCCAAACAACTCAACTTTGGTTTCATCTGTCCACAGAATATTTTGCCAGTAGTGCTGTGGAACATCCAGGTGCTCTTTTGCAAACTTCAAACGTGCAGCAATGTTTTTTCTGGACAGCATTGACTTCCTCCATTTTATCACCAACTTATGCAGAAATCCAGGTAATTCCAAAGGGTTCTCATACTTTTTCTTGCAACTGTATGTAGGTTGCCATGTCAACCTAAAACAACCACTTAAAAATTACATATTTGTGTATATATATATATATTTGTAACTCCTTGAGATTTTCCTTTTCTATATCAGTAATTGAAAACAGTAAATGATAAGGCTGCCGTTAACAAAACCTTCGGTAGTATTACAAAGAGGGTTTTGATTCCTTTAGAATACAATGGGACAGCTATTTGTTTTTCACTTCTTCCTTATCCCACCATTTTAATTGTTTCTCTCTTTACAGTTTTCCCCAGTGTTACAGGGATTGTTTTGTTAGTGAAGAGGCGAGAAACATATTAATATATATATATAAATCTAATGTTAAGTTCTGTTAGTCACCTTGTTTTCTCTGTGTATATATATATATATATATAGTTTTTGTCAATCAATGTTGTACCTGTAGTTGCTTTTCACCTTTAATATTGTTTTTTTCAAATTAAAAACAGAAGAACCTTTTGAATGTTTAACGGTTTTATTAACACAGAAAATATAAATATTTATACACACATATTCAATAAAGGATTGTTAAAATAACTTTAGCACATTGGAACTTTTTAAACATTTAAAAAGCACAACTAATATCCTTCATTGCCTACAGACAGACCTTCACCCACAGTGTTATTAACATACTGATATGTTGCAATCTAGCTCTCACTACTTCTTTAAAGCCCATATATAAATCTCTTCTTGAACTAGATCATTGTCATTTCTGAGAATCTGAACCATTCCAGGCTGAGATGTGATGTCACTCAGCCATGTGGGAGGATACAAGTATCAATAAGCAGCTTACGATAGCTCAGTCTCAGCATTATGCTGCTACACTCAGACGCTACAACAAGGACACTTTGAGATGAACCCTCAACAACAACATGAAGGCAATAGTGTAGATCATTCGTCAACAATACATTTGAGTACCATCAGATTGTATAACTAAATCAATATCTGCCAATATTAGCCCTTTCTTGAAGAAAACAATTACCATAGGTTGTTTCTTTTTGTCAATTGATACCATCACAGAATCACAATGTTTACATAGAAAGAAGTAGAAAGAAATTGTAACGTTTCTTTGAGTATTAAAGTACATTTGAACAAAAACTGCTACTTCTTACATGGCTCCAAATCTCAATGACATAGATCCATCTGCACAATAGTGGTGCAACACTCATCTTCATCTTAAAAGACACTATAGTGACCAGGAGGTTTTTTAAGCCTATCAATACACTAGGCACAGAGATGAATTGGATCTTAGTGATAATTCTTTGCAGGAGTGCCACGAAATCAGTTAGTATATGCTGCTAAGTACAGATATTATAGAACACCTGCAGGAAGATGCATATGCTAGATAGATATTATTAGCTAATATGTGAAAGCAAATCTTACTCCTGTGAATGTAGATGTTGGATTAACCCTACGACATAACTTGGGTGGTGTCTCTACAAACGTGGCTAATGTTATGAAATGTCTGACTTTGCATATATCCAGTAGTATAATCGTGTGTGTGTGTGTGTTCATGCTCAGGGAGGAATGATCTATTTCTCAAACAGTTTAACATCCAGCCTTTATTTCCCCTTTCTCAATTGAACCTTTTTCTGGTCCACAAAATAGTTCAAAGATACCTCTCGGTCTTGCATAGGATTGAAATGCCCTTTAAATTCACAGGTACAGCGAGTGCAGTCACTGCTACAGCCCTTTGTATTTCTCCCTGCACTGACTACTATCAAATGAAACAATAACAGTATTAATAATCTATAAAGCAAAGTAAATGTATGTTTTCAGACTTGTAACGGAGGGAAATGTGGGAGTTTTCATGAGGGCAGGGGGGAGGGAACTCTGTTGGTCTCCGCGGTGCTGAGAGGAGCTTCAGGTTCCAGCTCGAAACTAATGTTTACAAAGGAGGCTCTGGAAGCTTCCGGCTGCTCCACGGTGGCAGGGTGGGGGTCGTCCTGCTCGCCACTGCGCTGGTCCGCAAAGCGACGCTCCGCAGTGTCAGCCAGACGGTTCTCCTCCTCTTCCTCCTCCTCCTGCGGGACAGTGGAGTGTGTTGCTTTTAGTACTACTTATCTATTGTTTGACATTTGTTTTTTGTGTTCCTGCTCCAGCCATTGCGGAAACAGGTTTAAAAAGGTGTGACTTTATATATATTTATTTACTTATTATACGGCTTAGCTGAACACTTGATTGTGATTTGTCAATTTGGACCTTCAGCCATCTGCTCTTTTTCGATAGCAGACCGTTGCTAAGGATGCTCCGATCAAAAGACTATGTGTGGTCATATCAATCCGTAGAAAAATAAGTCCGGTCAATTTTACATCAGTTATATCCCAAAACATAATTCGTTTTCCTCTACCAGAAAACACTATGAAATACTTTTTCAATATTCATTTTTATATTTGTGGACAGCATGAAACTTTGCATTATTGATGGCTAAACTGTCCCCAGTAAAGAAAAGAAAAAGTCATGCACAGTACAACAGACTATTTTGGTCAAAGGGACAAAATACTATCATTTTAAAATCAATCAAATCTTTTTTAATTGACTATTGTGGAGTCAAATTATTATTTTATTAAGTAAGAAGACGTGTAATAATTTGAGTAATTTGCAGCGAGCAGGTCATTATTGAGAAAATAATCATCCCTTATATAAATACATATACATTGCAATGAAACTCAAGGATGTGTGTGCACATGTGTCCTACCTCTTTCTTTATGCGGTAGTATTCATCTATAGCGTACTGGTATTTAGGAGAAGTGATGCCAAACAGTGAAGCCAGTCTCTCTCCCATGAAGTCACACACTACAGAACAGAAACATACACTCATTATATATATATATATCTTCTTCAACCTTTTAATATGAAGGAATACAAATTCAAGCTAAAAACGTTTGAATTTAAAGCATCTTATTTGCACGTTTGCTAATTTCCCAGTATTTCTGCAGAGTATTTATAACATTGTAATGAACAACTCTAAAAATCTCTTGACATTTCCGAACCAGGTGTGATTGGTACTTGCATGAGTGCCAACTGACAGATCTTCTTTACCTGAGATAGTAGAAGTGCCCATTCTCCACATGTGGAACCAGAAGTATGGACCCCAGGTCAGTTTGGACTAAAATTAGGAGAACATGAACATTTAAAACACAAACGAACACCATTGACCTAAGAACACATCATCACATTATTGAAGCAGAGGTTCTCAAATGTTGAGGGGGCCGGGACCCATGATTAGAAGAAAGGGACATTTTCCAAGGACCCCCTCATAATTGTAATAATAAGTATGCTTAGGCTTGAAACACTTTGGAACTATTGTAAATTAAAACTCTTCCACTTAAACACATTGCACTTTTTATGATACTGCACACTTTAACTATTTATTTTTCGGACCACCTGGCAGATTGCTGAGGATACCACTTTGAAAATGAATAATTGATTAGTTGTTTGGCAGGGAAAAACCACAACAATTATATTCACTTTTAATCATAAACATCGTTTTTAATGCGAAAGCGCTTTTTTCAGCTTCTCATATGTGAAGATTGTCTGTTTCTCTCTGTTTGATATCATAATAAAGGACATGCCTTTTGTTTCCGACTGACATTTATCACTATTTTCTTAAATGTTATACCATTAATTAAGGAAATAATTGCCAGAAAAATCAATAATGCAACATATCTTTAGTTTCTGCTCTACCCAAAGTCATGTTTTCTAAAGCTGCAGTGTAGTGATAAGGAACTGCACGATTCAACTTAACAGCCTTTTTATTTGACTGTTGTATTGCTGTAAAATGATTGCTGCCGGGTGAATAACGGATTTATAATGCTGACTCCACCACTGTATTTCCAAATAACATCCCGAGCAGAAGCCAAAGTCAGATTGTTTTTAATATATCCAACACATTTGAGGCTATTTGCTGATGTTTTAGGCATCTTATGTATTGAGGTTAATAGCCACATTGTAATGGATTTCCATATGACAGGTCAGTAAGATTGCTCTAACACTTCACAAGGGATATGCCGTAGATCTGAGGCTTGTTTAGAATCTGTACAATCCTGTTGGTTTCAGTAAAGTGAGTTTCAAACCGTATCAGGTAAGACATCTCTCTTCACAGGCTCCTCCACTTCCTCCTCTTCATCGGTGCTGTACTCCTCCATGGTCTCTCCACTGGCAAAGAAGATGGTCCTGCGAGGAACCTTCACTTTGCCCTGCCTCCCCGCAGAGTCTCCCATTTCCACCCTCTCAAGGTCTGTCTCTCCTTTTAGACCCTGTCAGGACAGACCATACGTGTATATAATTTCATCACCAGTGAAATTAGTAATATAGAATATTTTATGAATAGTTATTTGTTATTGCTTTTAGACAAGGCGCGAGCATGCTAACAGATATGTGCATGGTGTTTGATGTGCCCTCCCACACTGGCTGCATATTTGGCACAATGAACTCGTAAAAAGTAAAACATGACAAACTCAACTACCTACAAAGTAGTTCACTAACTTGATAAGAAGTACATTTACTAATATGGAGTAACTACAAAGTACGGTAAATCAAGTAAATAGTCTCAAATGTTTTAACAAAAGTTTAAGTTAGCTTATTAGCTAGCTACTTTGTTTGTTTGTTGACGGTTAGCTTCGCGGCTAAGGAAGTAATCCACTGTTAATACAAAAAGTCAGTGTTTTATCATTCACAAACAAGAAACCTGAAAAAAGTAGTATAACACGGACTCACCTTATCAGTTTCCATAGTTTGCCCCAGTGAAACATTCACATTCGTTAAATACAACGACAAATCTGCCATCGCAGTTACTCCTTCCACCTCACAACGATGTGGTTGTCTGGGTACTGCGTACTCACTTCCTATCTGACTTTTTCAGAATAAAAGCCTTCCTTGCTAAAAAAATAACTATTGATAACTGTTTTGCTGCATATTTTGTATACAAGTAACAAGAAATAAAAATGTATTAGACTAACTGTTGATCAATATTTGGGGACATTTAGTGAGTGTGACTGTGTGCATCTAGACTCTAGAGAAAGAAAACAACGCATAAATAATGTAATTAGTTAGATATTAAGAGGAAGCATAAACAGTTATAGAAAAAATCTAAATCAATAATGTTTTTAAACTAAACCATACACAGTGCGTGAAAGTAACTAGATTTTTTGTATTTTCATAAACTTGGAACCATTGGTTTTTGAAGCTTGATTTTGAAAGTATTGAGCGGAAGCCTTCTTTGTACTTCACGGTAGCTTGTCTCCTGTACAGCGAGAGGGATTCTCCTCCTGTGGTGTTTTGGTCCAGGCGAGCCCACTCTCAAAAATGACAGCAAGGAAGTCAGGCTCACGACTGGAGACCGAGATAGAGCGGTGCCGTTCAGAGAGTCAATGGGACAAGATACCGGAGCTAGTACGACAGCTCTCGGCCAAACTCATATCAAACGGTAAGCAGTGTGCGGGTGTTTGGTTCATTCAGTCTGTAAGGCCTGCTCCCTGCTCTCAGTCCTCGGCACTTCCTGACAGAAGAAGCCGAGCCTGGGAGTTTTACTGCACTGTGCTGTGGTGACAGCTAGTTAGCTAGCAAAGGTCAAGTACCAGAATTATTCCTTTTCACAGAGGATTTAACCACATTTGGGCAGTATGGTGTGTGTACACAATGAGATACTTTGATTTTTAGATAAGGAGAACTTAGCTTAGTTCCTGTTATAGCTCTGCCCTCTCCTGTCAAGCGGAACTACAAACACCTGTCATTAGGTGAATGTATTAACTTTACTTCAATGATAAACTATTCAGTCGCCTATTATCGACATACAAAAAACCTTCATATCAAGATCACAATAGTTTAACCTTTCTTAAAGTGGGTAATATGTCCTTCAGTTGAGAACTTCATCATGTCGAATTGACTGTATCTAGAATATTCTATGTATTAGTTGTATGCTTTAACATTAGCCCTGCCCCTATGTATCGTACACACTTTTTAAATTGCGCTAATTTCAGTAATGGTTTCGCCTCGCAGAGTCTAGCTCACTTAACTTCGCTGTGTGGCTAGCAGGCGAGATGCTACATGAAAGCTGTCAAACTCCTCGCTGATGCTGATGCTGAATTGTAAACGGCATTTTTCATTCATTCAAACCTTTATTTGACCAGGTGGTCCCATTGAGATCATCGATCTCTTTTTCAAGGGAGACCTGTCAGCAAGTAGGTTACAACATGAACACAAAACAACAGATAACACTAAAGGACATCGTATTTACAGGGCTACATTTACACACCTAGAGACATGTACCAACCATATATTTATATCTCTATATCTCCCCATGTCAATAAGCCTGGCTTTAGACTTTTTCGCTGTCCGTCATTTTGACAGACAGGATCGTAAAATATCCGTCATAATCCCTTATTACCCGTCGGGTCTGAACAGTTCACGATAGAGCATGTTATGCCGTGTGTGCATGCACCTCGCGGGACGCGCACAGCGTAAAAGCAAAACCTCCCAGACATGTATTGATCCGTACGGCAAAGTACGGTTTGGAAACTATATCATTTCCTTTTGGAGGGCATGCATAACACCAGAGCCTCGCTGCGGGG